ACTCTCTCTCTAACTCTCTCTCTAACTCTCTCTCTCTCTCGCTGTGTTCAGGGGAAGCTGGAGCTGGCATTGAAGGAGGCGCAGGACTTCAACGACTCGCTCGAGGCGTTCCAGGTGTGGCTCGGCAACACGGAGAAAGCTCTGCTCGCTGCGAAACCAGTCAGCCGCGTGCTGGAGACGTGCGACACACAGGTGGAGGAGCATGAGGTAGCTTCCTCTCCCTCCCTGTCTCTCTCTCTCTCTCTCTTCCTCTCTTTCCCTCTCTATCCCTTTCCCTCGCTCTCTCTCTCCCTCCCTCTCCTTGTCTATCCCTTCCTCTCTCTCTCTGTCTCCTTCCCTCGCTCCCTCTCTCCCTCCCTCTCTCTCTCTCTCTGTCTCCTTCCCTCGCTCCCTCTCTCCCTCCCTCTCCCTCTCTATCCCTTCCTCTCTCTCTCTCTGTCTCCTTCCCTCGCTCCCTCTCTCTACCTAAATATTAATGAATCGATCGGTCAGTCAATCGGAAGTTCAGTTAATTAGTCAATTAATTACTCAATCAGTCCGTAAGTCAATCAACTAGTTAATAATATATTGAGCCAGTAAATAAATTCAATTAGTCGCTCAGTCATTCGAAGATTGATTTATCGATTTATTGATTGCTTCATTCATTGATCCATCGATTTAGTCAGTGCATAAATCAGTAAATAAACCAATGAATGAATAAATCAATCGATAACTCGATCGATCAATAAAATCAATAAATAAACCTACGACGTTCACGCTGCGTGTGTGTGTGTCTCGCGCGGCCGCGCAGCTGCTACAGATGGACATTGGTCATCAGCGGGAGGTGATGCTGGCGCTGGACAAGACTGGCACGCACCTCAAGTACTTTGCGACGAAGCAGGACACGGCGTGCATCAAGGGTCAGCTCTCCGGCGTGCAGGCGCGCTGGGAGAAGGTCGTCGTCAAGGCCGACGAGCGCGCACGCCACCTGGAGGCGGCGCACAAGGTCGCCAAGGAGGTGAGCGGAGCAGATGCGCGGGGGCGGGGTGGTGAAGCGTGAGTTTATAATTATAACAAATGCGGTGTTATATATTTACCCCGTGTTGCACGCAGACATGCGAGACAAGCTGACTAAGCTGAACAAACTCTGGGGCACGGCGCAGCAGGCGGTGGAACTGCGCGCGCGCACGCTCGATGACACCCTCGCCGTCTCAGACAAGTTCTGGGCGAAGCTCGCAAACCTGCAGCACACCCTGGAGGGCATGGAGAAGTCGCTGCAGTCGCAGCCGCCCCCCGGTGGCGAACCCGACGCGATACAGGCGCAGCAGGACGTGCTCGACGTGAGTGGACGCTCTCTTGTTTCTCGTGGAACAATCTTTTCCGTTTAGGACGCCATTAAATTCTTGATTATTATTACTAAAAATGTATATGATATGATAGGTGTTCACTTTTACAATTTGAATGCCTTCAATTTGTTATTTCAGTTATTATTAGAATAATAAAAAAGGAGAGATGAGTATTGAGATTGTCACTTAATCATGTATATCTACAAGCCAGCCTATGCCCGTCTCACGGACGCCATCTTTGTGCATCTTACGGACGCCATCTTTGTGCTCGCCAGGCCATCCGTAAGGAGGTGGATAAGTGCAAGGCAGACGTTAAGAAGTGCAGGCAGGTGGGGCGTAAGCTGATGGATGGATGCGCCGATTCAGACCGCCATGAGGTGCAGCATCTTCTAGAGGACGTCACGGCAACGTGGGACAACCTCGTCACCGCCTGCAAGCAGCGGCAGACGGAGATCAACAACGTGAGTCGCATCGCCAGGTGGCAGCACGACTGCTGGAGGTTGTTAACGCGGCCGCGACGTGACGCTGGCGTCGCGCGAGTGTAGCGATTGTTGATGTTATATCATGAACATGTGTATACTATAAATGTGTGCGTGTGTGTGTGTGTGTGCGTGTGTGCATACGTATACATGCGTGCTTGTGTGCATTATTGCGTGCTTGTGAGCATGCATGCGTGGCTGCGTGTACGTACATACGTATGTATGTGTGTATTACCTCATCGTCACCGTGTGGCATGCTCGCAGGCTAAGGAGATTGCTCATCAGTTCCACGACACGCTGAAGGCAGTGCAGCAGTGGATGGATGAGGCAGAGGATAGGTTCGACGCGCTCACTCCCCTCGCCACCGACATCGATGCTGTGAAGAAGCAGATCGAAGAGGCGAAGGTACTAGCAGCAGCCACAATAGCACGTGATTTAAAAATCAAATATAAAATAATTGAAATTCTCTATTTCTTAATTTTTCATTATATATATATATATATATACATTTCAGCTTAATGAACATTACATAATACCTTTGTGATTTTTTCATTTCAACCATGCATGTGATGTGATGTAGTACATGTAGTGTAATGTATGTGAGGTAATGTATTGTATGCATCGTAGTCCAGTCAGGCTAAGAATCCACATTGACTGGCATGTAGCAGTCTAACGTACGTTACAATACGCTGTGTATATATTATAGAATATATAATACACGCTGTTAATGTTAATGTTAATGTTAATGTTAATGTTAATATAGGTGTGTTTTTGTTTCTCAGGCGTTTAAGACGGAGTCGGATTCGCACGCCGTCGACGTTGAACTTGTAAACAGACTCGGCAAGGAGTTGGTCAACCACACGACACCAGAGGTCGCTGACGCCATCCGCGTCGACATGGACAACATCGGCAGACGCTGGGAGAACCTGCAGAGGGTGCTAGCGGAAAGGTTCGTGTCGCAGGAGCAGCAACTGATACAACGTGCGCGTGTTTGTTAGGATCGTAAACGATTATTGTGAGCGATTGCACGGGAATAACAAATAAAAAATAAATAGATCGTGAACGACGAACTGACATCTCCTCTCGTTCGTAAAATATCATTTATGAATTTCCGATTCTCATGTATTTTAATTCTAACGATGATTTTAAATCATTAACTAATGATTGTTCAAGTAATCCACTCTAAAGATACAATTACGTAAATTTGTAAAGTTTCGAAAAAATTTCCGTCCCACTGACCAATGCGTGCGATTCTCGCGTCGCCCGCTGACGCTGTTCGTCTCGTTGCCTAGGCAACAGAAGCTGGATGCGACGTTGCTTCAACTGGGGCAGCTGAAGCAGGCGGTGGACGAGCTGTTTGCATGGATGGAGTTCCAGGAGGCAACACTGAAGGCAGCGGTGCCGCTACACGGAGACCCACGCGCGTTAGAGCTGGAGCTAGCCAAGCACAAGGTACGTACGTCCGCGCGCGATAGAGCTAGCCAAGCACAAGGTACAGTACTAAGGTTTCGACGCAGCGATAGAGCTGAGATAGCCAGAAGAACAAGGTAGTGACGTATCCCCGCGCAATAGGAGCTGGAGGATAGCCAAGCACAAGGTTAGGAACGTCGGGCGTGATAGAGGCGGGAGATAGCCAAAGCACAGGTAGTACGGTCCGGCCGCCAGACTGTTCGCATAACAATTAATTTCCGGAAAGAGTACAGTTTGTTTGCCAGTCGGTCGGAATGCCACGACGAGAAAATACAATTCGCTAATTTAATGGTTAGTGGTGGTTGATTGAATTGCTAATTTTATTATATAAATAAATAATCATATTAATTGTATTCTAAAAAAATTAATCTGTCCTAATTATAAGTCCTTTACTAATTAATTTGATTCAGATTTAATAGGACACTACCCGGTAGGCGATATTTGGTTTCGTTAGTGCTCCTGACCGTGCAGATAGTTGTTAACTGTGTGCCAACGATTGTACAATTTGTGCTAACTGAATTGAATCACGTGGGGCAACTTTGTTCGTTCAGTTTGCGTGGATGGAATCTGATTTTAAATAACCATGCTCACAACGTTTGGGAAATTCTCTTCCTTTTTTTATTCGGGTGGCTGGGTTGTCTTCACCGCTGCCGTTAAACCCGCTTGTTGCAGAGTCTTCAGTCGGACGTGCAAGCGACACCAGAGTGCTAGCATAGACTCTGTTTGCAATGCCGGCCGGACAGAAGGGGAATCGGAGCAGTCCTGATCAAATGACAGGCGGTTCAATGCAGGAGCTGCGTGATCACCTGAACGCACGGCATGAGGATGGCTGGTGGACATGTAAGGATCACGGCCGGAAACAACGTATCAGAGGAGGCACTGAGGAAGGTGCGTACAGAGGGTGTGTGTAAGGGGGGAGGTTGAGGAGTGGGTGGAGGAGGAGGTGAAGGAGGAACGCACGCTGGGATGGGCTGCGTGGACATCGGCATAGGCATCACGCCGGCAGAAACAACTCACAGGAAGCATGAAGGAGGTGCGTTACAGGTGAACAAACCAATGTGGGAGCGAAGGTGGTGCAAGCAGGAAGGCAGCTAGGGGAAGGAGGGACGGAGCAGGAGTAGGAGGGAGTGTATGCGAGGGAGGATGGGAGGAGGAGGAGGAAGAAAGAAAGGCCGGTAGGAGGTGAGGGGAAAGATGGAGAGCATGAAGGAAAAAGCCTTCATGCTGCTACGAGAGACTATGGTAGCAGAAGAAAGAGAGCAGGCGAGTGAGAAGGAGGGAGAATTAAGCGAGGAAGGGCAAGAAAGAGAGGTGGATGAGGAGAGGCGGAGCGTGAAGGAGTGAGCAATGAGGAGAGCCGAGAAGCAAGTAGAGGAGGATGAGGAGGAGCGGCGGTGAAAAAAGGGAATGAGCGAGGAGGAGAAAAAAGAGAGAAGAGCGTGAGCAGGGAAAGGAGAAGGAAGAGAGGAGAGGATGAGGAGAAGCGGGATTAGAGGAGAGGGAGGAGGAAGTAGAAGAAGAGAGGATGGTGAGGAGGAAGGGGGAGAACGAGGCGGAAAGCTAAGGATAAGGGTGGTGGATGGTAACAGTCTTAGCAACGAATTGGGATGGATGCATGATGATGATGATGTTGATGATGATGTTCGTCATCTGGCGGCACAGGGCTTCAGCTCGAGGGTCAGGATCAGCTGGCTTCTGGCGCGTGACATCGACAGTCAGTGGATCTCTACGAAGCCATTCGCGTAGGTCTGGGCAAACAGTCGGGCGCAGCAGACAGCTGCTCAGGTTCATGGTAGGTGCTATGGTTTGTGCTGGGCAGATCGACCAAAAAGATAACAACAAAAAGACTAATAGCACACACAACAACGTCAACAACAACGAATACACAAATAGCAAATGTTCGAGAGTTGCATGGCAGGTGCTAGGTGTATGACTGGGCAGTCAAGACAGCCCATCAACATCAAACAAACAGACAAGAAACGCAACACACAACTATGTACTATCTACTTATACGGTTACTAACTATAGCTGACTAGTAACATACATATTACAATGCAATGTAACTGACGAAAGCAAACCACAAACACGAACAACAGACAAACACAAAGAACGATAATCAACAACACAAGCAACCAACAAAAGCAGACAAACAACAACAACGCAACAACAACACGAGTGGACGCACGTCGCCTCTCTCACACCGTTGCGTCTTGATTCTTGCCTTCACAGACCGTCTCACGACTTTGCAGGCGGTCAGCCGCGGCTAGAGTCTGTGCTGTCTTCAGGGAAGAGCGAACTTGTCACAAGCTGGAGGAGAGGACGTCACAGCCTCGAGAGAACAGTCTGCGAGAACGCTGAGGAACACTCTGGCTCAGCGCGTCAGGCTCGTAGCGAGAGCGTGAAAGGTTAGCTGTGGCGCAGGGTCGCGCGCACGACGGGCCGCACTGCGATCGGCGGCTTGCGTGGCCGGCACTTGTGATATCTTTGGCGTTGGCTAGAGCTGGTGACACTTGTCGTAGCTTTGTCTGTGTGTGTCGTTATGGTATAGTATTCTCTCGTCTCTCTGTTCTCTCTCTCTCGTCTCTTTCTCGTGTCTCAGGTTCTCAGTTATCTCTCTCTCTCTCTCTTTCTCTTTCTCTCTCAGTCTCTCTCTTTTCTCTCTTCTCTTCTTGCTCTAACTCTCCCTTTCCCTCTATCTCTCTTTCTTCTCTAACTCTCCCTTCCCTCTATCTCTCTTCGCTTCCTTCTCGCTCTCGCTCTCTTTTCTACTCTCTCTCTCTCTTTCTCTGCTTATTCTTTCCTCCCTTTCCTCGTTTATTAGATCTCCCATCTCTTCTCTCTTTCTCTCTCTTCTCTCTCTCTTTCTCTCTCTCTTTCTGTCTTTCTTCTCCCGTCTCTTTCGCTCTCTCTCTCTCTCTCTCTCTCTCTCTCTCTCTCTCTCTCTCTCTCTCTCTCTCTCTCCTCTCTCTCTCTGCTTCTCTCTCTCTATCTACTCTCTTCTCTCTCTCTCTCTCTCTCTCTCTCTTCTCTCTCTCTCTGCTCTCTCTCTTCTCTCCCTCTCTCGTCTCTCTCTCTCTTCTCTCTCTTCTCTCTCTCTCTTCGTCTCTCGGCTGCGCCGCGCAGCTCACTCTCTCTCTCTACTAACTTTCTCTCTCAGCTCTCTCTCTTAGCTCTTTGCTCTTCTCTCTCTCTCCTTCTTCTCTCTCTCTCTCGCTCAGTACTTCTCCCCCTCTCTCTCATTGCTCTCTCGCTCTCTCTCTCTCTCTCTCGCTCTCTCTCGCTCTCTCCGCTCTCGCTCTCGCCTCTCTCTCTCTCTTCATCTCTCTCTCTCTCTCTCTAATCTCTCTATCGCATCTCTCTCTCTCTCGTCTCTCACTTCTCTCTCTCTCTCTCTCTGCTCTTTGTCTCTTCTCTCACTCTCTACTCTCTCTCTCGCTCTCTTAGCTCTTTGTCTCTCTCTCTCGACTCTCTCTCTCTCTCTCGCTGTGTTGGGCGAGCTTGCGAGCTGGCATTGAAGAGGGCGGCAAGGACTTCAACGACTCGCTCGATGGCGTTCCAGTGTGGCTGGCTCGGCACCGGCAGAAAGCTAGTTGCTCGCCGCGAACAGGTCAAGCGCAGTGCTGGAGGACGTGCGAGCACTCAGGTGGAGGAGCATGTAGGTTAGCTCTTCTCTTTCCTCTCCGCTAGTCCTCTCTCCCTTCCTCTCTCTCTCTCTCCTCTCTCTCTCTCTATTCCTTCCCTGCTCTCTCTCTCTCTCCCTGCTCATTAATCCTGTCGTCTCTTTCTCTCCCTCTTCTATGCCGTTCTTCCTCCTTATCTCTCGTCTCCTTGCCCTCGCTCCCTCTTCTCTCCTCTGCTCCCTCTCTCATCCTTTCCTCTCTCTCTTTCTCTCTTGTCTCCTTCCATTGCTCCTCTCTCCTCCCTCGGTCGAGTCAATCGAAGGTTTTCAGTTAATTACGCAATTAATTTATCAATCAGTCCGTTAGGTCAACTCAACTAGTTAATGAATAGGGAGGCCAGTATAAATTCATTAGTCAGACTCAGATCTTCGAATGATTGGATTTATCGATTATTGATTGCCGTCTCTTCAGTGATCCATCGAAGTTAGTCAGTGCATAATCAAAGTAACTAAACACATGAATGGCGATTATCAATCGCTTATTACTCGGTCGATCCAATAGAAATCAATTAAATAAACCTACGACGTTCACGCTGCATGTGTGTGGGTTCTCGCGCGGACGTGCAGCTGCTACAGAACTGGACATTCGCGTCATCGCGGGAGTGATGCTGGCGCTGGCAGATGGCAGCACCTCAAGTACTTGCGGACGAGGCAGGACCGGCGGATGCATCAAGGGTAGCTCTCGGCGTGCAGGCACGTGGCGAGAGGTTGTCGTTCAAGGCGACGATCGACGCGCACGCACTGGAGGCGGCGCACAGGTCGCCAAGGAGAGTGAGTGGAGCACAATGCCGCGGGTGCGGGTGGTGGTGGGGGATGGTGAGAGCTGAGCGGGCAGGGCGGGGTGCGATGCGGAGTCAGGAGCTGGTGCGATGCGGCCAGGTGGTGGGAGAGGGCGTGGGGCAGGGCGAGTAGGCGAGGGGGGCCGGTAGTGAGCAGGCGGTGGAGCGCAGGGTGGGTGGGAGAGGGCATGCAGGGTGTGGTGGGGCTGGCAGGCAGGGCAAGGGTGGCGGGTGAAGTAGGGTGAGGGTGGTGAAAGTGTGGCAGGCGAGCTGCATGGGTTGGGCCAGGACAGGGTGGTGAAGGGAAGGCGTAGTAACGATGGGGCTTGGAGCTGCAAAGACTATTGTTGGGCAGAAAAGGGGTGGGCCGTTCTGGTTAAGGAGTAGACTACGAACAAATTTATAAATAATATCGTAAAAGTTTGAACTACATAAAGGTATTCACATAATCAGCCGCAAATTTCCCATCAAACCTCATGAAAACGAACAAATCTTTGTCATCGTTGTAACCTGTTAATAACACTCTGTAGAGTAGGTTTCTACTAAAACATTCTTTAGGATTTAGAAAATATATATTGTAATAAACCTGGTGTCAAATATTACTACGTCTGAACCACCACTTATTTGTCTCTAACAGCTAACCTTCCATATAAGCACTAATTTAATTCGTTACCATTTTTAACAGATGCATGATCACAGTCGGTTTGATGTTGTTTTAATATGAAAACTAACTTCTGTTATTTATTGGCGTTTTGGCTCTGGCCTCCGTTAACCTGATCTTTCGTTATCGTGATTCGTTTAATTATGTTTAATTATGTGTTTAATTATTTTCTTTTAGTGTGATCAGGAGGCGGCTGAGGTATCGATCACTCGTTGGTTTTCACTGTCCCTGGTTGTTTCTTTGTCTTTATGTCTGCCATGGTGCATGAGTTTGCCGCATTCTGTGCTAATATCGACGCAATGTATCGTAAAATTTAGATGCTTCCCAGCGTAAAATCGCTAGCCGCCATTTTCTCAACTGTCGTATTGTTTTCTTAGAAGCCGGAATGGACTTAAGATATTGCTAGTCTGTGACACTGATCTATATATAAGTGTTATATAGTTGATCAGTGGTCTGTGATGCTGTCTGCTTTCCCCTGTGCGCGTGCGTGTTCGATGTTTTGTGTGGTGACTGTGTGTGTGGCATCGTTAGTAATTCCAATTAGGACTGTTTAGGAACCTACTGTTCCTAGTTACTGGTAGCTCTGTATCGTGTTGTGCTGGCATTGCTTAGATCCTGACATGTGTATGCGTAGGGAGAGATGCCTGACCCACGTATTGACCTGCCATCTGTCGGTCTGTTGTCAGCAACATGAGCAAATACGTATGGATAGCGTGTCAGAAATGTCATAAAATTTGCCCAACACTTCTTGCGCAAAACATGTGACATTTTATTCATGTGATGTCACAACTATTTATAATATTTCTGCCAATAAAGCCCCCTGGAGCAATCGCCAAGCAGCCCTAGGCAATTATTGATGCGATAAGACTTTCCAGAAGACAATGCTTGGCTACGAAGTGTGGCGATTGCGATAATTTGACATGCTCGCATGGCAAAACAGAGTCAAGCTTGTCTGGCATAGCAACAGTATCTAGGGGGCGTGGTTATACTGCTCTGATTGATAAGTTTAAATTCTCTGATCGGCATTGTTCTATGCTCTCCATGTTGTTCTCTGCCTCGCGTTGTTCCACTGGCTCCATGTTGTTCTGTGCTCGGCGTTGTTCCACGCTGTTCTCTGTGCTGCTGTTCCATGTTGTCTCGTGCAGCTGCTGCTACTGCGCGTTCTATTGCGTGGTGTTCTGTGGTGTGACGGTGCTGTGGGGTGGAGGGGGGTGTTGGTCAGGCTGATAGCGTGATGGGTGGAAGGCATAGATGGGAAGGATAGTTGCAGCAGCATTTCCCTCCCAGTGTGATATGATGATCTGTTGAGTGACTCATGACACCTTAATTCATACATATATATATATATTATGTATCACACATGAAGTACAAGCAAGTAGACACATTGAGACCGCTTTGCGTCGAATAATCCACGAGACAAAATATCATCTCGCTCTGTAACTCTCTTGCTAATTTGACAATAATTGTGCACTAGTGTTGTAACACTTCTGGAGGTCATTCTTCGCTGCTTCAAGGAGACGTACTGTTAGTAGTCAGTGTTGTGTATGACCTTGGTCCGTCGTGGGTGACCTTGGTCTGGCGGCCATGACAGTTAGATGAGTCATCGCGGCGACTGTCGTCTGCTCCGAACCCCACAGTGAGCAAACGTCGCTCTGTTTCAGTTCCAGGACATGTGGAGCGACCTCTGTGATTGGCTGGCTGAGGCCGAGGAGGCCTTGAAGGGAGACGCGGGAATCAGCAATGAGCCAGATAAGATTCGACACCAGCTGATCAAACACAGGGAGTTCCAGAAGGTGGGGATGTTGTGTGGTTCATCTATACGTGGCTCTGTTCATACGTATAAGGTTATCGCTATCTTTATTGCCTGCTGCCTTATCTCATTAAATCACTCTCTCTCTCTCTCTCTCTCTCTCTCTCTCTCTCTCTCTCTCTCTCTCTCTCTTCTTCTTTTTTTTCTCGCCTATCTCTCTCTTTCTCTCTCTCTCTCTCTCTCTCACTCTCTCCCTCTGTGTCTCTCTGCTTCTTTCCTCTCCTCTCATAATCTCATTCTGTAATCTACCTCTAGACTATATGACGATAAAGAATTTAATTAACTGACTTCATCATATCGCTATCATGGCAAAGCATCATTGTGATAGCAATTTGTATTATTGTATTTTATTATTTGTGTTATTGTCGTACTATTGTTGTATTATTGTACTATGTGTTATGTTTTACTATTGTATTTTATATCTGCTGCATAGTTACTCAACAACAAGATGGTAGCCTATGACATGACCATGAAGAAGGGCAAAGTGCTGAAGGAGAAAGCGCCCTCTACTGACATCGCTGCGATACAGTCAATGCTGAACACACTGAAGAACAGCTGGAATGGAGTTTCCTCATTAGCCGTTGAGAGGTAGGAATCTCTCTCTCACTCTCTTTTTCTGTCTGTCTCTCTCTCTCTCTCTCTCTCTCAAATTAATTTCCGGAAAGCAATACGAGTTGTGTTTGCCGTGGTCGGAATGCACGGACGATAAACTACATTCGCTAATGTAATGGGTTAGTGGTGGTTGATTGAATTGCTAATTTATTATAAAATAAAATAATCAAATTAATTTTTCTCAAAAAATAATCTATCCTAACTTATAATCCTTAACTAATTAATTTGATCAGTTCTAAAGACTGACCGGTAGGCGATATTTGGTTTGTTAGTGCTCCTGACCATGCAGATAGTTGGTAACTGTGTGCAACAATTGTCGAATTTGTGCTCAACTGAATTTGAAATCAGTTGTGCAACTTCTGTTCAGTTCAGTTTGCGCTGATGGAACTGATTTTGAATCAACCATGCGCCAACAACGGTTGGGAAATTCTTTCTTTTTTTTATTCGGAGTTGCTGGGTTGTCTTCACCGCTGCGTTATTTAACCGCTTGTTGCAGATCCTTCAGTCGGACGTGCAAGCGCACCAGGCTAGCATCGACTCTGTCAACGCCGCCGGGCAGAAGCTGATATCGGAGAGTCCTGAATCAGATGACAGCCGGTTCATGCAGGAGCTGCTGTCCAACCTGAACGCACGCTGGGATGGGCTGGTGGACATGGTAGGATCACGCGAGAAACAACTACAGGAAGCACTGAAGGAGGTGCGTACAGGAGGGTGTGGGAGGGAGGTGGTGCAGGAGGAGGAGTAGGGGAAGGAGGGACGAGCAGGAGTAGGAGGGAGTGTATGCGAGGGGAGGATGAGGAGGAGGAGGAGGAGGAAGAAAAGGAAAAGGGCCGAGTAGGAGGTAGCAATGAGAGAGAAGAGAGAGGGAGAGCAGAGAGAGCAAGATGATGGAGAGAGAGAGACCTGAGTGGCAGAGAGGAGAGAAGAGCGTGAGGAGAGAGAGGGAAAGAGATGCGAGAGCCGAGAGCGAGAGAGAGGAGAGAGGAGTGAGAGGTTGGAGTGGAGATGAGAGAGAGAGAGAGACGAATCAGACAGAGATAAGAGAGAGACAGAAAAAGAGATGAGAGAGAGAGAGAGTAGAGAGAGAGAGAGAGAGAGAGAGAAAATACAGAGCAGAAAAGGGAGAGAGACAGAAAGAAAAACGAGAGCGAGGAGAGAGATGAGAGAGATGAGGAGAGAAGGGAGAGAAGAGAAGAGAAGAGGAGACGAGAGAGAGAGAAGAGAGAGTACAGGACAGAGAAAGAGAGAGACAGGAAAAAAAGAGATGTGAGAGAGAGAGAGAGAGAGAGTGAGAACGAGGAGAGAAGAGAGGAGAGAGAGAGAGAGAGAGGAGATGAGATTGATGAGAGAGAGAGATGACGAGAATGGAGAGTGAGAGAGAGAAGAGAGAGAGTACAGACAGAGAAAGATGAGTGTAGGAGAGAGAAGGAGACGAGAGAGGAGACAGAAAAAGAGTGTAGACGAGAATTCTATCTCTCAACGCTAATGAGGAAAACTCATTCACAGCTGTTCTTATGTGTGTGCGAGCATGACTGATCGCAGCGATGTCAGTTAGAGGGCGCTTTTCCTTCAGACTTTTGCTGCCTTTTCATGGTCATGTCAATAGGAGCTAACCTCGTGTGTGTTGAGTAGCACTATGCAGAGCATATAAAATTACAATAGTTTATAAAACTATCAACACATTAGTACAAGTAGTACAACAATAGTACGACAAATAACAAAATTCAGATAAAATACAATAATACAAATTGCTATGCACCAATAGATGCTTTGCCATTGGAAGCGATATGATGAAGTCAGTTAATTAAATTCTTTATCGTCATTAGTCGGAGGTAGATTAAGAATGAGATTATGAGAGGAGAGGAAGAAGCAGAGAGACACAGAAGTGAGAGAGTGAGAATGAGAGAGAGAGCGAGAGAAACGACGAGAGAGAGAGGAAGAGATAGTGAGGAGAGGACGAGGAGAAGTAAGTTAATGAGATAAGGCAGAGGGCAATAAAGATAGCTTAGCATAACTTATAAGTCGATTAACAGGAAGCCACGTTATAGATGAACCACACATACATCCCCCACTTCTCGCGAACTCCCTGTGTGATCGCTGCGTGTCGTAATCTTATCTGGCCTCATTGTCCTGATTCCTCCGATCTCCCTTCAAGGCCTCCTCGGCTCATGCCGCAATTCACAGCAGGTCGCGCTCCAACATGTCTGGAACTGAAACAGAGCGAACGATGTTCTTTGCTCACTGGGGGTACGGAGCAGACGACATCCGCCGCGATGCTCATTAACTGTCATGCCGCCAGGACCAAGTCATCCACGACGGCACCAAGGTCATACACAGCACTGACTACTAACAGTACGTCTCCTTGAAGCGCGAACCAAGAAGAGACAGTACAACACTAGTGCTAAGATTATTCGTCGAAATTAAGCTAAGAGAGTTACAGAGAGGAGATGTATTTTGTACGTCGGTGGATATTCACGTAAAGCCCGTCTCAAGTGTGGTCTACTTGTGGACATTCATTGTGTGATATCATAATATTACTATATACTATACATAATATTATACGTATATATATTAGTGTATGAATTAGGGTGTCTATGAGTCACTCAACAGATCATGCAGTAATCACATGGGAGAGGAAATGCTGACCTGCAACTATCCTTCCATCTATTGCCTTCCACCCATCACAGCTATCAAGCCTGCAAACACCCCCCTAACCCACAGCACCGATCAGATCACAGAACACACGCCAAATAGAACGCGCAGTAGCAGCAGCCTGCACGAGCGACAACATGACAGTCAGCACACGGGAAACAGGCGTGGACAATGACCGGAGCAGCAAGAACAACATGAAGCCAAGGCGACACAACGGCGGAGCAGTAGAACAACATGGAGGCATAGAAAGCAAGCCGATAAGAGATTTAAACTTATCAATCAGAAGCAGAGTTAACCACGTCCCCTAGAACTTTTGCTATGACAGACAACTTGACTCTGTTTTTACATGCAGCATGTCAAAATCTATCGCAATCGCCCACACTTCGTTAGCCAAGAATTGTTTCTGGAAAGTCTCTAGTCGCAGTCAATGTGTGCTAGGCTGACTTGGCGATTGCCTCCAGGGGGCTTTTATTGCAGAAATATTATATAATAGTTGTGACATCACATGAATAAAATGTCCACAATGTTTGCGCAAGAAGTTTTTGCGTCAAATTTTATGAATTTCTGACACGCTATCATACGTATTTTGCTCATGTTCTGACAACAGACCGACACATGGCAGGTCAATATGGTGTGGTCAGGCATCTCTCCCTACGCTATACACATGTTCAGCGATCTAAGCAAGTGCCAGCACAACACGAATAACAGAGCTACCAGCTAACTAGGAACAGTTAGGTTCCTAAACAGTTCCTAATTGGATTACGTAACCGATGCCACACACACAGGTCACCCACAAAGTCGAACATGCACAGCCAAGGAGAAAGCAGACGCATCACAGAACCACATCATTAAACTATATATACACTTAATATATAGATCAGTGATCACAGATAGCAATATCGTAAGTCACATCCGGCTTCCCTAAGAAAACAATCGACAAATTGAGAATAATGGGGCTACCGATTTTTACGCCTGGGATAGCATCTAAATTTTACGGATACATATGCGAGTCGGATATTAGCACAGATATGCGGAAAATCATGCACCATGGCAGACATAAAGACAAATGAAACAAACCAAGGCACCTGACAGTGAAAACCAAGACCAGAGTGATCGATAGCCTCAGCCGCCTCTGATCACACTAAAAGAAATAATATATAAACAAATAAGTAAAACTAATTAAAACGTAGAAGTCACGATAACGAAAGATCAGGTTACAGAGGCAAGCCAAAACGCCAATAAAATAACAGAAGTTAGTTTTCATATTAAAACAACATTCAACCGACTGTATAAATCATGCATCTTGTTAGAAAATAGGTAATCCGAATTTAAATTAGTGACGAATATGGAAAGGTGAGCTGTTCAGAGACAAATAAGTGGGATTCGAAGGACGTAGTAATGTTTGAACAGGCTTATTACAACTATATATTTTTCTAAAATCCTAAAGAATGTTTAGTTAAACACCTTACTCTAATCAGTATTTATGAACAGTTACAACGATGACAAATATTTGTTCGTTTTCATGGAGAGTTTGATGGGAAATTTGCTGACGTGATATATCGTGAGAATACCTTTATGTAGTTCAAACTATTTTACGATTTACTTTTTAATTTGTTCTAGTTATCTCTGTAACCGGAACGGCAACTTTTCTGCCCAACAATATTCTTCGCACTCCAACCCCCATCGCTTACTATGCTTCCCTTCACACCCTGTCCTGCCAAACGCAGTGCAGCTCGCCTGCCGACACTTTCATCCACCACTCACCCTACTTCACCCCGCCACCCTTGCCCTTGCCGCCAGCCCCATCCACACCTGCTGACCCTCGTCCCCAGCCCACCTGCCCCTCCACCCGCACACTACCGCCCCCCTCCACCTCCTCCTGAGCCCGCCCACCTCCACAGCCCGCATCGACCAGCCCTGACCGCATCGCAACCCCGCCCCGCCTCACAGCTGCCACCCTCCCCCCACCACCACCCGCCCGCGCATGCTGCTCCAGCGTCACTCCTTGGCTGACCTTGTGCGCGTCCTCCAGGTGAGCATTGTCGTAGCGCGCTCGTCGGCCTTGACACAAGCCCCTCCCATGTCTCCCAGATCCGTGCCTGACGCCGGAGAACTGACCCTTTGATGCACGCCTGTCCTGCTATCGTCGCAAAAGTACTTGTAGGTGTGTCCGTGGTCTGTCCATCGCCAGCATCAGCCTCCCGCTGATGACGATGTCCATCTGATAGACCAGGCTGCACGCGGCGCCGCGGAGACACACACACACGCAGCGTGTGAACGTACAGATAGGTTTATTATTGCATTTAATTTGGATCGATCGAGTG